CAGTAATCTTAAAGTTGTTATATTTAATGGTTTTATATTGCATACATACTCATTGGATTCATTAAATGGATACGTTTTTCATAACCAAGCAATGGCAAATACTTTTCTGAGAAGGTGAAGATCTTTCTTTGATCTAACCCACCAAATTGAGCATCAACTTCCAAATAATGTTCATCTAAAGCTTGCAAACCTGGATACAACAATCCAGAGAGCAAAGGGTTTGCAACTTGTTTAACTACTTCAGCACCTGCTTTTTTTGCATCATGCTCAGTTACAACAGAACTTAAACGATACACATCTAATGTATATTCCCTACAATATATTTGATTAATAAAAAATGATTAATATAGCATGATCATAGCAAATTATATATGATTACTTACTTAGATAACTGATAATCTGTTCCCTTAACAAACTTCAACTTTTCCAAAGGTACATCTATAGACCTAAGCATAGCTTTGATTATTATTTCATAATATTGAGTACGAAGTTCTAAAAGTTCCCATGGTGCTTTCATGTTATCCAAATACGCATGAAGATCAGCAAATAATACAGTAACCTCTGCACCAGATTTTAAGAAATCTGCTATTTTAGATATTGGTGTAAAGTAGCCAATATGAGGTTTACCAGTTGTAGCAGTACCCCAATAAAGCTTCAAATCTCGTTGTTTGAGAATACTTTTAAGTTTCTCATCACCAAGCCACTCAGCTAAGTTTCTGGTGATGAATTCATACTTCTCCTCCCATTTTAATTCGACCATGTTTGTTGCTCTAAATAAAATACGAAATTAAAATATTAAAATTACAACAACATAATTTAAAATAACATTGCTAACAACAATAACAATTAAGTAAAATAACACACGTGTTTGGCCACGTGTACAACACGTCAAATTCTTAGATTTAACCTCGTAATATTTTATTACAAGTTTAATTTCAATAATATTGATTTCATTTCGGTATTACATAATCAGACATAATCATTACAAAATCAGATATTATTAAGTAAAGTACAACAAATTAATACCAACAGTATAACCTGATAGTGACAGATAATTGTAATTACTTATTTTACAATTATTCGAAATGAATTAATTAAAAATAAAACTTAAGAAACGATTTACTTATTATAACCTATATGTTTTAATATTACAATTAAATTAATTACATCGCGTAACTTCTGCTAAAGTACCAAAATTTCGCGACTTGCAAAACTGGAAAAAGCTGATAAGTCGAACGCATATAACTGAATGCGAGTTGCGACTGACACTGACACTCGACATATGTAGAAGAAGTAGGTTGTACCCTACACTGTGTATAATATATGGGCAAATGCAACTTGTAAATTCGCGATAATGTTACATCATTTATTTCTTTTTAATATTGAAATGACATGAAATGTAATACAATAAACAGCAAAAATGTATGAATATTTAAACGATTAATCTAATATTTCAATTTTCTTTATTGTCATTTCCTCTCAATATTATTATCTTAATTATTAACCTAAATTTTTATATCTTCTTTCTCCTGACTAGTTTCATTGCTTTGTTTTGGCGTATTTGGTTCCAAACTAACATCTTTACTACTAATACCTAATTTAGTAATTAATTCATATCTTTCCTTAGCAACCTTTTCCAATCTCTTATAAAAAGTTGATGTTACAGTAAACATACGTTTGAAATCACGGCGATCTAAGCGCAGTAATTCACATACTTCTAACGCAATTGCACTTTCTAATCTTCTTCGATCGGGATATATTAAAGCTGCTTCACCGAAATAGCCTCCATCCTTCTCGTGACATATCTTACGAAAAAAATTAATAGTTGTATCTGTCATATGGAAGAAAAACGACTTTTCATAATCTATGTCAATACTGAATTTTATATACTTCTTTTCCATTGAATGTAATAAGAGCAACGGTTCCACTGACTATAAAGAACATACAGTCACCGTCAGTTTTACTTTTATATATGATATCTTCGTTGAGATAAATAACCGATTTTAAAATTCCTATAAAGATTATTATAATCATAAAAGAAAACCAAAAAACTTTCAAAATAAACACACAAATAAAAAAAACATACATATGTACATATTTTTTCTATACCTTACCCATTAAATTTCCAATAATGCCGCGTGGTAAAGAATGTAAAATGGTCGCTATATCTACTAATCCGCGGCTACCGTGGATCATGATTTCTTGATTCAAATGATCTAAATATGAAAATGCAAATAGCAAATGAAATACAAGCTATATACAAACTATAATACAAGCTATATGTATGTATATTAACTTGATAAAGTTCGAGATATAGCATTCTCTTTAAAATAACTGCCCTGAAAACGATACTCATAATAAGCAATAAGCTTTTTCTTAAGATTCTCTGGAAGTTTCTTTTCGTGAATATATTCTTTCACTTGATGCATAATTCGTTGATATTTTAATTCTGGTTCTGCAGCTGATTGAACTAATTGTAAAACTATGACTGTTATAATATGAAAAACGATTAGACATTTGTTCTCAATGCATAATTAAAAATTAATTATGTCAAAAAAAAGGATTACCCATAAAATATATTGTACATCCTTTTCCAAACAACAATAAGATACAACGTATTATTGTATCGGATTTACCCAAGGAATGGAACTCTATGAAACTTGATGCAAAGAAATTGCTCATACCTATGTGATAATAGGTCAGATAAATATCAAAGTCGGATTTCTTATACAATCCGGTAGTAAACAGAAACATATCTGAATTCTGCAATAGATTGTAATTCTACAATAAATCAGTCATTGAAGAGTTAAAGTAAGCATAAAGTAAAAATGAATTTATACCTCTTTAGTAACGCCAGTTATATGTGCAATAATAAATGGAAAGATGTGTGTTATACAGCTACACCAATGAAATATTAACAGTACCAAAAACGCTAACCAAATGGACTTTTCTTCAGCGTGAGAAATTGGAAAATTCTGAAAAATATTTCTCTTTATGTATCAACATAATAATTAGATAATACACATACATATATATATATATTTTTTTTGTCTCTGTTCACTCTTATGACTATTTCTTACTGCAATAATTTGTCGCACGTAAAAACGCAATGTATAAATACGTGCAATTTTTATAAGCGGCAAAATTTCAGGAATTAGTAAAATAGAATTTGAATTGGGCCCAGGAGGTAAAATACGATCTTTATAAAACCAAATGTATGGAACCGACGATATAAAATCGATAAAAAAATATCCTTTCACGTAATGCCTATATAAAAACAATAGTTTTAGTATTTCGTTAATTATAATAAAAAAAGAATCTTAATGGATTACCGGATTATTAAAACTGGATCTAGAAAAATTTCATGACCATCTTGTGATTTGAAACCTGTTATAAAATTAAGTACAATATCAAATATGCAGGTAATGTATGCAGGATGCACTGGATCCCAACTTTCTGGATTAGAACTTTTAGCTACTCTCTGAAACGCCAAAATGTATGGTACCATAATGAACATGTACAGGTATATAAATGTCATTAGAAGGTCCCAATAATATCTACATAAATATAAATACACGTTACGATTGAATTTCATCACAATTTTAAGAAAACTGTTTGAAAAATTGAAATTACCTTAAGTCACTACAGGGATGTATTACCCACCATGTTAAAGAACGTCCATGTCTTCTCTTTTCAAAAGCAATCGCAGCTAGACTGCGTAAGAAATTTCGTGTTAACGGATGATCCACAGAAACAAGAAAAATTTTCTGAAAGCTTCGTTTCCAGCGGGTATAAAATCTTGCATTTGGCGGTAATTTAGGTAAATTACTGTCGGATGTTTTCGGTAGTTCACAGATATGAATGTCTAACAATCTCTTTGGTACTCCTCGTTTAATCTTCATTTCATAATCTTCCTTTTAATAAAGTAACGCGTAGTGCAATGATATAATATGATTTCTACAACTTTAATATATCTTTATAGAGAAGTTACTTTCAAATCCAAATGTAAACAAAAGATAATAGCTTGCTTCTGTCCCTTTTTTTCCAATAAAAGAAATTAAAAAGTTAACATGTCGAATACAGAAGAAATTTTATGTAAACTATTTGATATTCGAGATTGGATCCCTGAATTTTCAATTGGTAAATCCATTTTCTTTTTCCTCCTTTTAATAAATAGACAAGTAGACAAATTATCGCAGAAACGTACAACTTTTTAAGCGACGTAAAAAATTTATATATTAATTATACTTTACACATTATTATTGTTCTACACTGCAACTTAGACACAATATTTACATGGAGACCTAGATAAAATATCTTAGGCATAGCTGTGACATTATGGATAAATCGTGTACTCATAAAATCTCTTAATACCACAGAACACACACCAAAATTATTTTATACAATGATGGCACCTTGTTGTACAAAATACAGAATATTATATATCGTAACAATTTGACAAATTTCTTACTGTACATATTAAAGCATAAATCATAATGTCCCTACGTTTTATTGTAAAATAATTTCATTCTGAAATCGTAATCTATACGTTAGTATGTACAATAAATTATGAATTTACGATCGATCAGTTTTGAACAAAACAAGTAAATATTAATAATGAACCTGTTAAAAATTTTTCACAATAATAAAATGTTTGCACCCCATATCCTATTAAAATAATTCGCTCTAACTAAATTTCTCCAACAACGAATAAAGATATTCCATAAATAAAACGAATAAACGTCCATAAGAAACGGTACGTAATAAAATATAATATAGAATAATATCTAATGTACAAGTTGGTAAATTTATTCGCTGCTGGTGAAATGAATTGTATTTGGAATGTAATTTTTTTGATACTTATAAGCTATGTCGTTTTCACTATTAGACTGTAAATTCTTTTTTGAAAAAAATATTATGCTGTTCTAAATACTCAGCTTCTTTCTTTTTGTACTTCAGACGATGTAAATCAAGCAGATTTATGTTTCCGGGAGACCTTAATAATTTCTTTAAAAAATGAACCTATGAAGGAGACGGAACCAATAGGCGGATATTGTATTTTGGTAGAATCCATCGGGCCCAAGGCTCGGGAATTTTTAGTGCATGTGCAATCTTCGATGTCTATTGATGGTCATTTCGGTGGGTCAAAAATTATTAGTTCGGCAACGTCAAAATTCCACTGCCTAGAAGAAAAAAGGACAGAGTTGGTTAATTTTAATAAACCTGTGTTTCTATAATAATATTAATGTTATATAATATTGCAGATTTGTATACGAAGATGGACTGCATGAAAAAACAATTTTTATAGGCATTGAAGAGAACTGTTACTCTGTAAAATTGACACGCACTTGTCTGTGTGATAAATCTACTGAAACTAAAGATTTATCCTTTTGCACTAACAGCAATCTAATAAGTGAAGGAGTAAATATATTACTTATGCGATACTTGGCGCTTATAAATTATGAGGGAACATTAACTTTTAAAAGCATTTCCATTGATGGAGATCTTGCTGAATCCAACTATGTAAGAGAATATGAACGAGTACCGATGAATTTAAAATAAATAACGAGATACTTTCTCTATTAGATATGTATTCCTGCTGAACGTATGGAATTAGATGGACATTATTTAGATGTTTATACGATCGAACGTAAAATATGCAAAGAAGATGGAACTATTCATAGTATAAGAACTTATTTAACTCCGAAAGCTAGAATACTCCGACATAATTGGTTGGATGTGCCATATGTATTAAAAATTAATCCATTAACTGATCCAGATGTCCGAAGTAAAACAATAAGAATGGAAACGCCTCTCAGAGAATGCTGGATAGAAGATATTGAAATGTTTTCTAAATATTTAGATATGAAAGTAAGATAGTAAAATATTAAGTATTTTTCCTGTGGAATAATCAATATCAAAATAAAATGCATATTTTACACCATCAATAGTTTTCCAAAATTGCTGAACAAACAGAATATCTAGCTGACCACCCAGAAGTAAAGCAATTGATCGCAGATTACGTTCAAACACTATTAGTTGGTAATCATTTTTTCAACTGGGGAAACATTGTACCAATACTTCTCAAACAGGTCAAATGCACAATATTTTACGATAATGTATTAATATTATTTATAAATTACTGGTCTCCACAGTAAAACCTGAAAACGTGATAGACTTTACAATACAACATTTTAAAGCGTTTGCAAAGAATCCAATGACCTGGGAGACCAGTACATTGAAAGAAGATTATGATAGTAGTGTAACATCACAGCTAGCAGAAAAAAAGTTGGATACATTTTGCGGTATCTGTGGATTTTATATAGATTATACCACATTGAAGAAATTTTCTTCCACATCTTTTACAGGGGAATGTCATGAGATGAAGGCAAATACTTTGAATTATATAACGAAGACAAGCTCATTATTAAAATAAACAATTAATTTCAGAGTTCTGACGACTTTACAAAATCTATCTGCTCGGAAGATTCAAATAATACTGTACCTGATAATCAAGAAAAATTTGATGTATCTACTCCAATAAATTCTATGCCTGATATCTTACCGCAATTAAAGAGAACTTGTGATCAATGTCAAGCTATTATTCAAGTTTGTGGAGATCATAAAGTAAATTTTATATATATTTATAATACAATTTTATATCGGTATTATATTTATAAAACAATCATATAATTCTTTAATTTTCAGTCTTATTCGATATGTCCTGCATGTCTTAAAGTATTCAAAATATGTACTAAATGTGCTACTATTGATCAAATATTACAAAAGCTAAAATAATAAAACACATAGTTACAGATTATATTTGAATTTATGAAGAATATTTTCTATTAACATTAAAGTTTACCTGTATCATTTTCTGCTAGGAGATATATCTTTTTGCGAGTTACATATAACACAATTTTCCTAAAAAATAAGATTGAAACTTAAAAAAATGAGAAACTCTCTAAATTACTTAAATTATTTACTAAAAGTAAAATACATACCACTACCTCGAAATTTGGTAGACAATCTTCATGAAACGAATGTTTACAATAAAATACAACTAGATTCCTTGGTTCTGTAATGAATAATATATTGAAATTAAAGTAATACTAATAATATATTTGAATAATTCATATTATTTTAATAGATACCTCTTACAATTATTTTCCTATGGCAAGCTCCACACATTTGGTCATCTAAAGAATGTGACCATAATCATTAACATAAATGAAATTTTTGCAATCGTTTTAGAATTACAATTCTTTAATACTAACCATCTATAAATATCCCTTTTTGATAACATTTAACTAGCCTTTCATGTAAGTTGAAATAATCATTGGATAACATTTTTCTACATCCTTCTTGTACTGACACTTGGAGATTGTAGTCACACATCATCTTAACTAAAGCTTTCTTTAAACCAGGAATTTCTAAAGACGGTTCTATTCTTTGTACCATAAGTCTAGGATCAACATATGTGCCTATTTTTTGCAACAAAAATGTAATAGCCTCTGAAAGAAACAAATTAATTTAGTCTCATTAAAGAAATATAATTTTATTATTTAATAATAATTTTATGAAATATTAGAAATATTAGCACTTCATTATTACTTACTGGGCTTATCCAAAGAATAAATAATCAAATCATTCCACAGTTCCTCGTCATCGTGTTCTTGACAAAATGCAATCGCACTCTGCATATCGTTTAATTCTCTAGTCATAAGTGCTAAAGCTTCAGAAGTGTTTCCAATTCTACCAAGTAGATATACCATTTCTGGATAAAATTTTCGCTGACTACAGATATCTAGTGCTTGTTGTATTGGATAATTATTAGAACGGCGTAGAAGAGGTAACAATTTATCTCTTGAATAATTAGCATAAAGCTGGACTAACAATCCATGATATTTATCTTCTGTATCTTTTTTATTTAATTCATCTAAATACTGTTATAAGTCATCTTTGAAATGTAGTTATTATGAAAGAGAAATTATTATATTTATTTCACATCTGTTTTTTTATATCTTACCAAGTATAAGTATCGATGATTATGCTGCAATTTTTGTACAACGATATCAGATGGTACTGCATCTTTTTCTAAAAAAAATTGTATAGCACGTTCCGCATCTAAATCCATTAAACCTTCTATCATGTCGTAAACGGTATTATACAGATGGTATTTTTTAATAAGCTGAAATACATCTTTATGTCTCAATTTTAAATACATGGCTAACGCTTTGTCGTATTTTTCATCATGAATATATAGAATTGCTAAAGCTTCTAACAGTACATTTTGTCGTTGATTATCAACGATAAGATGTTCCAAAACACCATTTACAACAGCTGCAACTTTATATAATTTAGGAGACCATTCTTTGACTAGTTGAAGAAATCCATCAGGATCCATTTTCAAATATTCATAAAGAACCATTTCGTAAATCAATGGATCTAACGTGACATCGCCTCTTGGGAGATAAGAAGAAATAGACCTCAGTTGGTGAACTCTTGCAAATTTATATACCTGCAATGAAATAGTATTACTCAATGGAACTATGAATGAAACTGGAACATTGTAAAGGAAAAAATGATACTAACTTCTTCCTCCCATAATTTTTTATCCTTTCCTAAAATTTTAGAGCAGAGTTTTCCTGCTTCATCATATTTTCCACAAGCTAACAAATGATCTAAATATATACGGCCAACATAAACAAAAGTGTACTTCTTACAATCTTTGCCATTATCTAATGTTACTGCCTCTAATGCTTGTTCGAATTTTCCATGACTCAATAGCCACTCAATTCTGTCATCCGCATCATATAAACTAGCTACAACAATATCTTTTGGACTGACAATAAAAAACCTAAAAATAATCATATAAAAATAAGATTAGTTTTGATATAATAAATTTAGTAGAATTGAACTAAATACCTGTTTTCCTCTTTCAAACAGTCTAAATGATAATCATTACAACTGTATTCTTTATAACCACGAAGTGTAAGCGAATTTGCACACACAAGAGTAAAATCATGATACTTTGGTTCAACAACATGTAATGTGGGCCTCTGACTCTTTCCATCTTCATCCAATTCTTTCAAGCAACCTAGTAATACTAACTGATTTTCTAAAGGTGCAATACCGGAAATATAAAAGTCCACTTGGAAAGTTGAAACTAAAATTGAAGTTTTATCATTATTATCTACCATTTCTTATATAATTAATAATATCTTTTTTATTACATATAAAATGTATACCTGGATCTACCACAAATTCCGGTAGGTCTCTATTGACCATTTCCTGTATCGACCTTTTTCTAATTTGACAAATTCGCACTATATCAACCCAACCAATTAATAATGTTCTATCATCTGACCATCGAAGATTACATCTGTAATGTTCTGGTAATGCACTGTATAGAATATGATTAAGAATTAATTTAGCCTCAATAACATATAAAAATTTTGCATACCATTTTCCTACTTACTCAGTAGATCTAGTCCACTTAATGAGACCTAATGAACATTTGGCATTTAAATCATAGATTCTGACACCAGTATCAGATGCCCAAGCCACAAAATGTCCAATCCATGCAATTGATCTTACTCCTCCTTCCGCATCGCACAATACAGTTAGTTTCATTCTGGATAAAAATGTTTTCTCATACAAAACCAATTTATCATCCCCTAGAAATAATTTTCATCTCTGAGAAGTTAATTTTTAAATGTATTTAAGAATTAAATATATAAAACAAAATAACCACCTGTAATAAATCTTCTTCCGCTACAACTTTTATAATAATTTGGATCTATAGCTATACTTTTAACTAATCTACCCATGCTCATATTATGATTATTCTCTGTGCTGTAAAGACCATATATAAAAACTTTTCCATCATCACTACAGGATGCAATGAAATCTCCATTATGGTCTATAGAAATCTGATTGACAGCAACTGTATGTGCTTGTAAACTTTTAGACTGTATATTATTTCCTTGATGATCTAAAAGATGTATCATACCCCAGTGTGAACCCAGACATAGGAACTAAACAAAGATTAAATTACTGTAATAAGCATTAATGTAGCGATAGTAGTATGTCATGCAAAAAATTAACCAAGATTTAGAATTTCGACTATATAATGTATACATTCTACTATGCTTAACCTTCATAACATAACATTATTTTTATCATATAATTTTTACAAGTAGTATTAATTATATTTCACACCTTAGGATGTACTGCAATGCAACTAGCTGCATCATTTTGTAATATATGTTCTAAATCATTTCGTACTCTGACGTATTTGAGTCTAGGTTCTACCTCATCTACCTCAGAGTCTGAATCATTCTGATTATTCTGTTCTTCCTATAAAATATAATTTTACACAATCAATAATCTCCACAGCATTTTATTAATAAAGAATTATAAGTAATACCTTATTCGAGGTATTTTCCATGCCCGTTTCTTTAATTTTTTGATTATAAAGAAGCTTACTAATGTTCGTAACCACGAAATGTCAAATCTTTTCTTCGTATACAGTTATATATCATAAACTTTCTTTTTCCTAGTTTCGTTCCTAGTACTTTACATTAATTTACATCATGAAAAAGTCATTAGGGGAATTAAAAATGTTCAAAAATACATTTTCAATAAATAATTCTGTAAAACGATAATCATACAACATACTAATACAAATACAGTGGCTCTTTTCTAGTGGGGCTAGTTTCTATATTACCAAATATTAGTACAGTTTATCTCACTATGGTGAAAGATCAATGTCAATTAGTGTTGGGTTTGGAGATTGTTATTGTATACAAAAATAACGAAAACACTGTTTCTCCTTGTTAATTACTCATTGTGTTCTGCAAATATATTGTCTTTCAATAGAAAATAACTCAAAATGTCCAGAAATAGTAACAATTGTAACGATAGCACGTCGTCTACACGATCACCACAACAACGCAAAGAGATTCTAAGGAGGATTATAACTAGAGCACAATCTTTACGTATGATTTTTAATAATATGCATTATAAAAAAATTAAATATTATACGCAATGTAAATTTTTTAGAAGATGCAGTTAATGCTGATACTATACACACTTTGGAATTATGTATGGAAGAGACAGATAATATAAACTCTGAAACAACTTTAGAAGAAAAAGGTATATAATTCTTAAGCGTATTGTTCTTCATTTGATTTATTTTGATTTCTTCAAATATTTTCTTATCATTTTATATGTTATTTTTTAGTGCATAATCAAGAAGAGGTATTAATGGATTCAGAAATGATGAGCATATCTTCTAACATTTTAAAACAATGTACAAGATCTTTGACAAAATTTGTATGTTCATATAATCAAGCGGAATTTGCTAAAAAATTGGTACATGTTGCATCAATAAGTACTTTTTTTGTTAACAACTATTGTTCCTAAATAAGTTATTTATTAATTTAGGTGGAATATATGAAAAAATGTTCTGATATTACATCAGAAACACCAGATTGGTCATTTCTAGAATCACGAGTTACAAAATGTTTTAAAAGAACACCACATTATACCACATTACTAGGTTTTTATCAAATTTTATTGTTACAATTTGTATGACTAATATGAAGAAGATATTGTATTTTTATCTTTCATATTTCTAGGTACTTTGGTACCATTAGAAAAGAAGGAAATTAACAAAAGAAAACCAACAGTTAGAGAAGCTCAAGCACAAATAAAAAAACCAGATAAAGTAGTGGCAGTTGAAAAAGAAGAAGAAAGTGCAGAAGAAACTGTAAAAATGAACAAAATCATCTCTAAATATTATAAAACCTACTCCAAACCTCTTGATTTTTTTAAATTAATTTTACATCCAAATGATTTTGGAAAAACTATTCAAAATATTTTACAAATGTCCTTTCTTGTCCGAGATGGAAGGGTAATAGTAGCAAAAGGTAATATTAGTTTTGACAATTACAAACTATGATTTCTATTTATTAAATTCTACTTTGTCAACAGATGAATCTGGAATACTTGTTGTTCAACCCTGCTCTAGAGACATGACAACTGAAGTAATGGCAGGAAAGAGGTCTAACATTCAAAACGTGATGTATCTAAACATGGAACAATGGAAGGTAATCACAATTTCATTCATGTATACATACTCATGTAATTAAATGTTGCTCTATACTAAATAATTTTATATTTCAGATTTTAAGGGACACTTATCGAATAAAAAAACCAATGATTAAATCTGATACTGAAACATAATAATAATTACTCTTAAAGAGCAATAATTATTTATAAAATGTAAATTATTTCCATAATTAAACTAAACAAATTATACTTCTTTCTGTTTGGAAGTAAACTAATTTCCCCTCCCTAATTGGAGGAAAAATGCTTTACAAAAACGGAAAATTGTTAAATTGTACATTTATCTGTATATTTTTGTAAAACTTTTATTAATTCCTAACATATCCTATAATGTTAAAGTAAATGTTAAATAACAATATCGATTTCATCTGTAATGAAAACATCCGGAACAAAATTATAAAATTTATATAATATTTACGATTATGTTCATGATGTTCTCGATAAGTTTTTATACTTTTTATGTATTTTTGGGCGAAAAACAATCTTCTAATCCCCTTTTTGTAATGTTCAAAGATCCCAATACTTTTGGATGAAATCCAATATTTGTAAATAAAAAAAAACAAGCCTCTATTATTAGAAGATCGTTTTAATTATTTCTTAATGACATGATTATGATGACTGTGAATCAAGTTTATTATTTTGCCAACGATTCTGCTTTTGCTACTACTTCTTCAATCGGTCCGACCATGTAGAACGCGACTTCTGGTAAATGATCATACTCTCCACCAAGGATTTTCTTGAATCCTTTAATAGTTTCTTCTAGCGGTACTAATTTGCCGGGATGACCAGTGAACACTTCAGCAACCTACACACAAATGATCAGTTAACAGAAACAATACATTATGGAAGATTAATATTATAAACTATAATGTATGTACATACCTGGAATGGTTGAGACAAGAACCTTTGGATCTTACGAGCACGCGCTACAGTCAGTTTATCTTCTTCTGATAATTCATCCATACCTAAGATGGCAATAATATCTTGAAGTGATTTATAATCTTGTAAGATTTTTTGCACACCGCGAGCAACACTATAATGTTCAGCACCGATAATGTTAGGGTCCATGATACGAGAAGTGGAGTCGAGTGGATCGACAGCAGGATAGATACCTATAGTATTGAAAAAATTATAAATTTTTATATAATTTATTTTTATCAGTTATGAAAGTAAGCGGTTATAAATACATATACTTACCCAATTCGGCAATAGCTCGAGACAATACAGTCGTAGCGTCCAAGTGAGCAAAAGTGGTTGCTGGAGCAGGATCTGTCAAATCATCAGCAGGTACATAAATAGCCTGTACAGATGTGATAGATCCTTTTCTTGTTGTCGTAATACGCTCCTGCATGCTACCCATATCAGTTGCCAATGTTGGCTGATAACCTACAGCAGATGGAATACGACCTAACAAGGCCGACACCTATAAAAGAGAACGATTTTAATAATAATATTAATAATATTCAAATTATAATACATACTTCAGAACCAGCTTGAGTAAACCGGAAGATGTTATCAATGAACAATAATACATCCTGTCCTTCTTGATCTCGGAAGTATTCGGCAACGGTTAAACCAGTTAAAGCAACACGAGCACGAGCGCCTGGCGGTTCGTTCATTTGACCATATACCAGAGCTACTTTGGAGGTTTTATCTTTCAATGAAATGACACCAGATTCAATCATTTCATGATACAAGTCATTGCCTTCACGGGTTCGTTCACCTACACCAGCAAACACAGAATAACCGCCATGGGCCTTTGCTACATTATTAATCAGTTCCATAATCAATACAGTTTTCCCGACCCCGGCACCGCCAAACAAACCTATTCAATTAGCAATAAAAACCAATAACAATTATGTATTATAAAGTAAATCAAAATTTGAATGATAAAATATGAATTTTACCAATTTTTCCTCCCTTAGCATAAGGAGCAAGAAGATCTACGACTTTTATTCCAGTTACTAAAATCTCCTGTTCGACAGACATTTCTACAAATTCAGGAGCATCTGCGTGGATGGCAGCAAGTTTGTCAGTAGGAATAGGTCCACGTTCATCAATTGGTTCACCAATAACATTAATAATGCGACCCAGTGTCTCAGCACCAACTGGAATACGAATTGGATATCCAGAATCCAGGACAGTTTGTCCACGAACCAGACCTTCAGTACCTACATACATATAATTGTGTTTCAGTAAAAGTAAAAACTATTTATATGAAATATTCTTTTACTAAATTACTTCTTTTCTAAATTATAGAATTACAACATGAAATTACCATCCATAGCAATAGTGCGCACTGTGTTCTCTCCCAAATGCTGAGCTACTTCAAGTACCAGCCTGGGGGTACGATTTTGGACTTCCAAGGCATTAAGAATTGGAGGGAGATCATCATCAAATTGTACATCAACAACTGCACCAATGACAGCAACAACTTTTCCTTGTGCACCAGCCTTAGATCCTGCAGCTTTTGCATAATCTCTGCCTAATTATAAAAAATTATTTCTTTTAATATTTGCTTTGCATATAATTGAATATTGCTTATATGAAATTTTTGAAATTTTATAATAATATTTTATAAATTAGACAATGATACAAAAAAATCATAAATGAGGTAATCTTTACCAAAAATTTAAATAATATTAGATAATCCTTATGAAGGTAAGTTACATAATACAAACTACATGTGAGTGCTTCATAGAAAACCGAACTGTTTTATATTCTTCATTATTTCTTTCAGATCTAAATCTTATAGTAAGTACTATTGACTGTTTACATGTAACTATTTAAAACAACGTATCAAGACACGAAGATTCTCTCTAATCTACGAGACATGACTGCCGAAAGCAGTCAAAAAGACAAGAAGGATTTTTTATGATACAAAATAATAAAATGCATCAGCTAGAATTCGAATAAGGTTTAAGTGATAATATTAATAATAATCGCAATCGAACTAACAAATTATCTTGATATCGTCAAAAATTAATCGATGACCTTAATGCCGCCATGTTGCACAGTAGAGTTACCACTACAGTTTGATCAAATAATATGTATTATATAATCAATACAACACCTTTCTTTTTCAATATTTAGGTGTCAATCGAGCAAAGAAGAATTACTTTCCGTATAAGCATGAAGAAGCAATAACAAACTACGTGAAGTAATAATGAATAACGAGTATCATCAATAACAAGTAAAATACAATTCCATGAAGCACAGTGGTTTGATCTGAATAAAAATGAATATTAATGAAACTTAGGAGATAATTCTTTTTGTACTCACTATTTACTGATAATGCCCCGGAGATTCTAGCAACTTCATTTTGAAGAAGAGTGGGTTTGACGGCCCTTAAGGCGCCAGCAGCTGCTTTCGATACGACGTTCAACATTTTAACCGGCCAAGTGAAGAAGAGCGACCGGAATGGTCTCTGATTCGTATGGACCGTGCCCCGTACTAACGGCGTATGCGCATACACAAAATCCTATCTCTGCGCATGTTTCTAGCGCACCTTCATTGCACGATCGCATACATAGGTCTAACACTCCCGTGGTAAGGCTCTTAACGTCATAAGATGTATTTTACAAATCAACTGATAGCCATAGAGCGTTGCAATCTAAAAGTGAGAACAACACATAAAATGCCCCGCAGTTAACGTACAAACTTTGCCAGTATGTTCTATTTAATTTTATAAGTAAAAACAGGTAAAAATGAGACCAAAATGAAATATGGAGAGGCGAAGGCAGTGGAATTGGAAGTAAACGAAGTAGCAATATAAAAGTAGAATGCTTTTGAGAACACCATCTTTCGCTGTAACATTAATAAAAGATATAACTCAAACTCAAAATGTAGCAAAAAGTCCATAGATGCTTCGTTAAAAAGTTATAATAAATATATAATGTTGATATAATATTTGATATAATCGATATAATTCTTTGTTACAACTTTTTAATGAAACATTTATGGAGTTTTTGTTACATAACATTTTAGTCTTATTTTTATTTATAGAACACAGTCGCAAAGCTTGTACAATAAATTATGGAACATTACATAGTTATATGCCACGGTCGTGTGTATCCTACCCATATGTACATTTATACAACTGTATTACATATACGCAATTCAAATTCTTGACTTGAACCGCCATACTGCTTACCGAACAAATTGAGAAACATTTGTCGCTCACTAGCTCACAGAGTCTTATTTCCATTCATCACAGGAGTTGCTCGATCGTGCTTCACTATCAGATTGTTCTATTCTTTCTTTAAGCCTTGTTCTTAAAGAAATATAGGTTTCCCTTTTTCCTTTAAGTTACAATATGATTGGGGGAAATTATTCGTTTAATAAACATTCGATTTGTATTATGTAACTACAGATGCGCTATTAACAATCTGACTTGTATTCTATTCACTGGATCATGTGGCGTGTAGTTTCATAGGAAGCCGGTTAAATTAAGTTTAGTTTATTTTGATATTAATGAGTTTTTAGGAAAATAAGTACAAAATGGTTGAAGAACAACAGAAACGAGTCGAAGAACATACTAGCAAAATAGTCGAAGAAATTGATAAATCAATGAGAAAAATGAAGGTGCTTTGAATTTGTAGTATTTTTAGGTTATATCGTGAAACACGCGCATTTGGAAGCTTTTATTATTAAAAGAAATTATGTATATATTAATATGAAGTACATATGAAGAATTTATAAAGAATGATGGGAAGAATAAATTAGTAGACTATATAGAGAATTTGGTATTCAATTTTAGGGTGATGCATATAGATGTGCTGCAATTTGTTGTGATAATGAGACCTATAGTATACAACGAGTACAGAACTGTGTAAAAAATTGCAATAATTCACTGGATCAAGCTCAAGAATATGCTAGAGAAGAACTGGAAAGAGTTCAAGTACGTTTTATCGTCTTTTTTTCTCTAAATGAAAAGTCTGCAAATCAACAGAATATTTAATGAATATTATTTTTTAGAATCGATTACAAAGGTGTGTTATGGATTGTAATGATAGAATAAAAGATGCGGCAGGTCCAAATCCATCACAGCGTGATTTGGAAAAATATAGTGAGATATTTGATAACTGTGTAACAAAATGTGTAGATAATTATTGTGAAACATTACCTACCTTACAAAAAACAATGAAAAATGTTTTATCTGAGAAGAAATATCAACAGTAAGATAAATAAAACTAATGAATTGCAATCTAGAGATAATAAAGTTATTAGATACTAAACTGCCAATATTTTGTGTATATAGCATAGAATTTTTTCTTATTAAGTATAAATACAATTTTTAGTACTACTTTATAAAAATGTTTCAATAATGTGCATTTTAATTGCATTTAGATATAAAAGACAATTATGTGTAAACAATATTTTATACACAAGAAAATAGTGAACATAATGAATTTTATGATTATTGTATTTATTAATTAATACACTTGATGATTGCAGTGGTACATTTTCATTTCTCTTTATTCTTTTCTCTCACTCGCTTTCACTCTCTCTCCCTCTCCCTCCCAGCCTTTCTATTTTGTTCAACGTAATAACAAATTCTGTGTTGCAATTAATATCATTTCTTTATTGTTACAATAGACATTACGCTTATTGCACACTTTTTTCATGATATAAAACCTTTCCACCACTCTCGCTCAAAATACAAAATAATTGGTCAAAATATGTTGCGTAAATTTTGTTCTAAACTGTAGGTAATCTGCGAATAAATTGTTTAAATAATAATAATTTAAATATAAATATCAACACAACATAATTCAATTGTTTCTTCGCGTGTACAAGTTCCTATAAAATTAGCCATTGGGCTTAGTATTCATTTTCTTTCGTTTTTCTCTTTCTGAAAGGATCATTGTAACATTCAATTCTTATCATAGCTGCAAAGATTAAGGTGGCTCAGTGCACTTCTTGTGCAATGTAAGGTATGAGCGAAGTGCCCCACTTTTTGCAATAAACAGCCCTTTGCTGATATGCAAACTCGCAAAAATTCGACGAGAGTGATTACATTTCAAGTAACGACACAACTTCTCGCTTATCGCCTTTTTTTTGTCTTTTTTTTTCTTTTTTTCTTTTTTTTTTTAATACGCGTCTCAAATTCCTAAATGCGACTCGTACATGTGTCGATTATGACTCAATGTCGTCAAATGGAATGGCATGAGTGTTTTTTTTAGTTTTGGAAAATGTCAATTTTCTCAGATGTCTCGAGGTATAAGTGAATGCTGCGGTATTTATTTCGCACCTGGCGTCGCACGGATTGAGAAAAAAAGTCTATGTAACATTTTGTATCCCAATCAATCAGACTCTTCGGACTAGATTTTTTTTTCTTTTAATAAGATTGAGATTACGCGCTTCTTTATTAAACGCTGGTCATATGTGAATAACTGTAGGTACATCTGGTAGAAAAAGAATTGAAGGTACAAGGTGAATGTAAGTTATGGCGCTGTGGCAACAAATTTGGCCAGTGCGTTTCGCCCTTATGAAAATTTGAATTCCAATCGTTCGCGCATTATCCTCTTTTTCTTCTTTTCTTTTCGTAGAAACTGAATTAAATTCGACGATGGTACAAAACAAGACAAGTACCTACATATTCTGCTTTAGATTTTGAGGTAATCAGATATCACAAAATACAAAGAACAGTAGTTAATTTTTTTAGGAAGTTCCTGCGTTTTTTAACGGTGCAAAAATTGAAAACGTTGGATGAATTTTGTTTTTGAAACCGATACATAATTTCTTCCATACAATAAACTTGATTCATAAAAATTTAACTAATAGAATTCTCAAAGCAGAATAGAAATCACTTTGATTCACCGTTAATTAAATTGTAACTTACTTTAATCTCAATTAAAGAGCAAAAAGTCACTTTTGTTTACATCACAGATAAGTATTTGAAAATACCCATCCTCATTAAAGCCCAATGCGAAACATATTAGAGTACTGGTCAAGTTTGCCGGAACACCTATTCGAAAACTTCTAAATAGAACTGCGTTTCTTGGTCCTATCCTAAGCTATCACCGATTGTAAATTAGTTTCTTCGATCTTCATTGCTTAATTAATATCGTGTTTAATTGTGCACCTGCAGAATGGAACATTTCAAGTATCCTATCAGCAGGTTCACCGTACTATATGCCTATGATCGCGGAGCAAAACAGTCGTTTTCGTAGCTGTGTGCAACTAGTTATTCTTTTTTCACAATTTCCAGGATTTCTGTCTCTTCGTTCTTTGAAATAGATCTCAAGTTTCTCAGAAAATAGTATGTAGTTGTTAACAACATTCTGCACTGTATATTAAATTATAGGCGTTACGAACTCGCTGCGTTGCTTACCGTATCATTACCGCAACATCGCCTAATATGGCTGACATAAGGCTTGACCCCGTCGTTACGAACTTTCCCTCTACTTACATGGATATTCAATTTGTACTTTGAAATTGAGTCAACTATTTGTTTCCTTCGCGAGCTTTGGTCGAATTCAGTTCCCACATAGTTACTGTGCAACTTGATAGGAACAAAGAAAACTTGGGCAATGTTACTATGTTTACAATGCTTACGGAGAGGACGTACTTATATGCTATTTTTTGAATATTATATTATCGACCAGTTCGAATAGTTACACGGGTGCTTATTGAAAAGACGTATTGAAAAAGTAACGTTTATTGGGGAATTCCAGTCACTACATGGTAACTGTTTCAATCAAAGCACAATTTTAACCCGCTTATAGAAATTCGAACGCCGCGGGCAAGCCTTTCATTTCAATTAAATAATAACTTTGTTAGCCGACCTAGCTAATCTGCATTTAAAAAAGAAACATCAAACAACTAGGAAGAAAGACTACTGATTTTAAAGAAGAGAGTGCGTACTTTTAGGTAGAGTAGGTAAGTATCTTTGAAGTCGATTGAATACGTGAGAATCTTCGGTATATTTTATAATTTTGAACTTTGTCGTTTGGCACTCGAGCCTTGAACATCGCTTATACATATTTTATAATCATAAAATGCGTCAAAATTACATAATGATTTTAATGACGTGAAAAAGGAACCATTTCAAACATTTCTTTCCCTACCGCCTTCACTAAAATTTTTATCAAAAACAAAAAAAGAATAATAAAAGTTTCCTATGTACTACTAATTGTTCGCTAAATTACAAGTATAATGCGCAACAAATAACCTCATCAACTACGAATGACTCTCACGCATTCCTCAGGCTCCTATCACGAACATGTTCTTTTTTTCCTAAACGTTGGGGCTATGATGACCTTTTTTCACGTTGGAAAAGAAACTTCATTGGAGCATTAAAAGCTCCAAAGGAAAAAAATATCGAAAAAAAATATAGTCGTCTAGAAAGTAACAGAAATAACGCGAGCAACCCCTTTGCTCTTCGGTTTGCCTTGCAGAAAACCAAGTCGCGCTTAAAAAAGGCTTAGAACACACTTTGAATATCGATCCCTGTAGGCGAATAAGACAACTCGCATCCACTGGTGCATGTATTCACCCGTTAACTCTAAAAAGAAGAACAACACCGTGTTCCCTACTCTCGCTCGCGTTTAACATCACTTTTATAAAATAAAAATGGAACATCTCGTGCGTTTTGAAATGTATCGTTAACTGCGTTAAATACGAAAAGGTAAAACTTTTTTTAGATCACATAATTGAAATTTTCCGTTTTCAAAAAGAAGTTTATAACATTCGTAATATTAAATGTACGGATTCTGTTATATTAATACAACTTAATGTCGCGTGACAATCGAGTAATTAAAAATAATATCTTGTATTTTTAAATAACCATCATTTTCTTAAATTTTAGTTTAAGTACGTCGAGGAATCATTTATCATTTGATCGTTACCATCAAGAGATAACGAAATATCATCGAAGACCTACAATTCCACTTTTACGCATCTTTAGTTTACAAAATGTGCTTTTGGTTTTTTTCGAGTTATTTCAAATAGCTGTTTTTTTCTCAATCATATAACTGGTGCCGCACGAGTCTTCCCTTCTTAATGTTTCTCTTAAATCTCATAGTATGATATATGCGCCGACCGATAGCTAAAATTTGAAAATCGCATTGTGCACCGATAACTATACGTCACATATAAATCTGTGACAAGAAAAAACTAACGAGCTAACAGAAAATATACTAAGCACTTTTAGAATATTAGCGAATTAGAAAGTGCTATTTTTGCGATCGGTCTACGCACAAGATATACTAATTAATAGCTGCTCCCAATGTGAAAATAGTAGAATTCTAACATAAATCAGATTTGCCTACATGGATCATCTCGACAACAATGCCTTTGTTAGACTTAGTGTTTCACAAAAGGTTTAATGGTTTACCAAAAGGTGTAACCGCCTTCTGTTCCCCCTCCTAGGAAATTTTTCTTTTGCGATATAGCCACGCTGTGACTCGCCATTGCAGCTAGTTGGGCGGCATTTGGAACTGTTGGGGGTGGTGGCAAGACAGGTTGTGAGATACTATCAAATCGATTAGTAGCATCGAATCCATTCTTCAAAAGAGTTTAACAAATTAGTATGCTCATATATATAATAACAAAGAATGTGCAATAAATTTTAATTACTTACAGGCATCACAAGTGTAGGGGGCCTAACTGGAGGCTGCATTGCTGCTGCAGGGTAATATGCTGCAGCTGCAGCTAATGGTGGATAATATTGCAATGGTCCATATGCAGGATAACCCGCTAAGTATCCTGGGTATCCTTGACCATACATTGGTTGATACATCTATACAAATTAATTACAAAGTTCTGAAGAAAATTTCTAATGTATCAACACATTTTTCTTAAATGAATGCAACAAAGTCCTCACCATCGGATGAGTAAGAGTTTGATCATACGTTGGCGGCGGTGGTCCTTGCGCTGCATAAAGTTGTGGTTGATTAGGAAATACTCCATACGGTGCGGCACCTGCAACTATATTGTAAAATTCGCATGTAATCGGATCACTAAAACCTGACGGAATCGACACATCGAAACACAGAGATGATTCTCTTACGTGTACTACCGTAGGTAGCAGGCTGTGCCGGCGCAGGGACAAAACCTGTTGGTGGATGAGGTGTCACCGGGTATGCTGTAACACATGCAATGGAAAATGCAAGTCCGTTCAGTTTGTTGGCCGTAGGTTCGATCTAAGCCAACGGTACGTGGTACCACTGCCAGAAAGGATAAGAGAGAACATGAATTATCAAACAATAGGAAACATCGGAACTCTTCATTCACTTTCAATCCTTCCACACTATAAGTTCATAAGTTCCTCTTCTATCTCCTATTGATCGTGTAACTCATATCCTCAGCATCGAAACGTTTTTGACGCTAATCTTTTTCTATTGTACATTATTACTAATAAATTATTCCTTTTCCATCTTTGATTAAAAATTTAATTCCAATGTATAGAATGCGTCAAATACGTCTTGATTCCAAAAGTGGTACTCCCACACCCAAGTATATCTTACACATGACATACACCGTTTTTATCAAGGTACTATTCAAAGCTCAAACAATGTTAGTCACTAAATAATGGTGAAAAGAAATAACCGAAAAAACGGTATCGTTGCCTTCTTGTTACCTTTAGAGTTTACAGCAGTTTTCATAGTCTTATATATTCATACAAGTGGAGAGCAAACGTTGCAATCGAAACGTGTCAAGAAAAAAAGGAAATCAACGAAGAAACTAATAATGCATGTCCGCGTAAACTTCAGTGGTACAAGACAGGCTTCGTAGTAAAAACATTTACGGCTCTTTCGAAAATCCATCATCCATCAGTGCTTCCCTTTTTACATAATATCTTGAATAATCTTAGTGACGCACAAAAACACAGAGGGTAGTAGAAAATTTGAATTTCGGGGATTCTCGAAAGAAGCGTAGTTGAAAGCGAGACACTTGAGAATAGCTTAGCAAACTATACTTCTGGTACCTTAACTGTGAATAAATAAACAACAGCACGTATATATATATGTATATATATATACATATATATATATATATAT